ACTTCAAAACAGTCATCCTTACAAACCACGGTGCAAGAATACTTTATAGGTGAGCGAACACCATGGAGCGATCGCTTGGCGGGGAGGGACCGATTATGCTCTCATTTGGGGCATGCCGATAGATGGCTCGCCGGACTGAAGACTGTAGCGGGCTGCTGGCAAATTCCACAAGGCACATCCGGCACATGGGTGACGGTTTCCAAATTCAAAAAAAACTGGGTTATCGCGCAATATCAACAAGGCGACACGCATAAAGCGGCACCCCTAAAGAGGGGGTGATGAGGGGGGAGCTATGGCACGGCGAGGTTGTTGTGGCGAAGATAAATGAGTGCCACCATTTTCTTACGTCCCGGAGATTTCCCACACCTTAAGAGGAGGGGGGGGGGGGAAGCCGGGGCAAAGTTTGTGGTGCCATCTCTCGGGCTTCTCGCAAAGCAGAACTTTATCGCGCAGCGGATAGTCCCGGCGTTCACTCACCTAATGTTTTTTTGCACCATGTTACAAGCCAACCTAAAGCGCCTCCAGGAATGGTGCGAGCGCTGGCTCATGGAACTTAACACGAGTAAATGTAAAGTCGTTTCATTCCATCGCCGCCGCATGCCACTTGCGTATCCGTACGCAGTTAATGCTATCCCGCTAGAAAATGTTCCGTCATACAAGTATTTGGGCGTCACTCTTTGTAGCAATCGTTCATGGAACATACACGTCACTAATATCATTTCATCTGCAAATAAAACACAGGGTTTCCTTAAACGCCATTTACGCCTCGCTCCACAACACGTAAAATTACAAGCATACGAATCCATCGTTCGATCTAAACTAGAATAGGCATCGCCAATTTGGGACCCTCGACAATCTTATCTTACACATGCCATCGAATCGCTTCAAAACCGGGTCGCTAGATTTATTCGCTGTTCATACTCTTCCACTGTGAGCGTATCTGGATTGAAAACAGAATCTGGTTTACCAGATCGAGAAATTCACCGTGGTATTGCAAGCCTGTCATTGTTTCAAAAATTGTTCATAGTCCCTTGCATGCCCCTTATATCGTTCACGCAACACACATATCTCACCGCACGAGCCAGTTGCTTCAAGTTGCTCGGCCACGTTCCTGGACTTCTACTTTTTCTGCCTCGTTTCTTACACGTACCGCACCAGACTGGTGATGATTGATGATTAGTGGAGTTTATTGCTGCAAGGGCCAGATATGGCCAAAGAGCGTCAGAGCGATGATAATGAACTGTGCGATGTGCAGTGTGGATAAAACAGATGTCACCTATCTGTAAATGGGCCTAAAAAAACAGTCGCTATATAAAAAAATATACATATAGTAAAATTATGGCAATGACAAATGATGTGTGCTATGAAGACATAAAATGGTTTAAAGTGATACGTATGTGAAATAAAAACTTGACATGGAGCACCAGTGCCTCAACAGATCCCTTAAAACAAGAGCATGCAGGCCTGGGCTCATTGAAAGCTGCTATCACAGGGGCATCCTCTGAACAGAGGATGCGCTATGAACCTGTTTGGCTGAAAACATTCAATGTTGGGCTAAAAACATTCAATACTACAACCTTCAAAAAGCTTAGAACTGATTTTGAACCAACAAGCGGCTCTTCGCCGAGAAACATAATTGGATGTAAAAGAAGTTGATAAGGGTATGCTAAAGGAAAATATTTCTTTCTTTCTCTTTCAGCTTCCGGACACTCCAAGAGGACGTGAAGGACTGTTAGCTTCTCGCCACATCTACCACAAGTAGGAGGTTCATCGCCAGTCAGCAGAAAGCTATGGGTACCATAAGTGTGTCCTATACTGAGGCGACAGAATAGGACATCAGTTCGCCGTGTTCTCGTAGCGGAGGGCCAGTAACCTAACTGCGGCTTAATCAAGTGAAGCTTATTATTTATTTCTGTGTCTTACAAGCGTTGCCAGTGGCTTCGCAGTTTCTTACGTAGGAAGGGTTTTAGGTCTGTTGCAGGGACAGTAGCGGTAGGGTTAATAGCGCGCAGTATAATTGACGTGGCCATTTAGTCAGCTAACACATTGCCCTCAATACTTCTATGGCCAGGTACCCAGCAAATAGTATCGTGCTGGTTGGACATATACACTGTACACAGGACAGAATACAACTCAATTATTACCGGATATCTGAATCTAAAAAGTAATCTTAATGCATTTACGATGCTTAATGAGTCTATAAATATAATTGATTTTGGTATGTTTGATTTCCGTATATGCTCCACAGCCGACAATAGTGCATAACCCTCAGCCGTAAATATACTTGTTTCCAGGTGCAGTACTCCGGATTCCGAGAAGGATGGTCCGACGGCTGCGTAAGCCACCCCTGCATGCGACTTATAAGCCTCGGTATAAAACTATACGCACGAGTAGTTGGACTGTAGTTGTCTGGAATGCATTTTAATATGTGCTTCTGCTGCATGTTTAGTGATCTCAACAAATGAGGTGTCACAGTGTATAAGCTGCCACTGCCACGGCGGAAAACGTTTCTTTGTGGGCGTAGGACAAAGTTCTAGCAGCGGAACACCCATTTCTTCACTTAAGTTTCTCACACGCAAAGAGAACGGCTTTCCCACTGCGGGTCGATTATGAAAGAGGGTGGCAGCGGTCATATCGTTTATAGTTGAATAAGAAGGATGCTTGATGTTTGCGCGTATGTGAAAGTATGTGAAACTGCTATAAGATCGCTGCACGTGAAGTGACCACTGATTCGACTCTACATAGAGGCTCTGGATCGGACTTGTCCTGAAAGCACCGGTTGCAAGTCGGATACCCAGATGGTGAACGGGGTCTAGGATTTTTAATGCACTAGGCGTTGCGGAGGAATAAATTAAAGGAGCATAATCAAGGCGCGAGCCGACAAGGCTTTTGTACAACATCAAGAGGCACACTCGAATACCAGACTAGAACGGCCTTCCCAGCGAAATATCAACCATTTCGTGCCCATCATCGTTTACAGAAAATATCAATAAGCACTTTCTTTCTTAAATATTTGGCTTCTATGTTTTTCTTTATAATTACCCAACCCTTATGTAATACCCCTTGCGGGTCTTTAAGGAAATAAAATGAAATAAAATGGAAATCTATTCACGTCCCGTAATACCGTATTTGGTATATGCGAAGCTAGGGAAACGGCTGCATGCACATAATGAGCGTGGGATGTACTCATGTTGTTACATGACACGCATGTAATGATTTTCAATTTAGGGTCTGTCGCTTGTGTTCATCATGCAGTGATGTCTTATCATACCAGTTTTGCAACATGTCATGTGAAGAAAACAGCCGCAAGAGCAGCAAGATAATGAAATGAAAATAATGAAATTCATAACATACATATAAGGATTTTCATTTTATATTTTAGTCACTTATGCTCATCATACAGTCATGTTATGCCATACTGATTTCGGTATCAATAACATTATAGAAATGGCCAGGAGAGATAAAGGCCGTAAGTGGCTAGATAAATAGATACGCTCAATGTCGGCGAAATTCGCTAAGAAATGCTTTGCATTTGAAAAGAAAACATATTCTTGCTGCCGAATTCAAGCTTTCTGATTTGAAATAATTCTGTGCAAAAGTAGCTGAATGATTAGAGTATTTTGCAAAGCTTAACTACGTCAAGCCGCCGTAGGAAAGTTTCCGAAAACATCACAACTTTAAAAGCGGTGGGTTCACAATCGAAAAACTGGTTTTAGTTCTCCCTGTGAATGGTTCAAGCATGACGGAGTGACAGCTAGGCATTCCTTTTTTACAGCATGTAGTACAATACGTGGTATCTTGAATTGTGTTCGCTATTTTCAAAATTGTGCAGTAACGTTCACACATATAACATTGACGACAGGAGATAAAGTCGTTTCACCGATGTTCTATAGTCCTGTACAAGGTCTTCAATATCGGGCTCATTCCTTCCTAAGCACGCAACACAGCACTATAATTACAGTTTCGTATTTTACAAACTTAGGTGTGTCTGATGACAAAAGATGGCTGTGAAGTAGTATCGTTCTAATTCGTTCTCTTTACGAGCCCCCTAAAACAGCCCTCATTAGCACTAAACATAGACCACAAAATTAGGTGCCTGTAGCTAGTGTTGCAACTATCGGCGAAGAGTCAGGCGCAGCAGGAATTCGTGGTGACCTGACCCGCCATGGTGATCTAGCTGATAAGGTATTCGGCCGTTCACCCGCACGTTGTGGGCCGAATTCCCGCCACGGCAGTCGCATTTTCGATGGAGGCGAAAAAGCTTGAGGTCCGCATGCTTAGGGTTTTAAGACACACGTTAAAAGACCCCAGGTTGTCAGAGTTCCCGGAGCCGTCTACTATGACATCCCTCGTAAACATATATGATTTTAGAGGCGTTAAACATCCAACAAATATTATATTGAAAGCATGATGACCGTAATAGATTTTGTCGGAAGCATAACGGAAGCTTAGCGAAACAGAATTTCATCACTGCCGTCGCTCTAAAGATGCCAATAACCAAATAAAATAGAAAACAATGGCTGTTAGGGTCTTCATCTTTTGCAATTAAGAGTGAACGGCACGCAAGCGGGAAGCTCCACGACGAGGAACCTGGCCAGATATTTTAGATATGGCGTGTTTCATAGAGGTTCATAAGGTGGCTACTTTGTAAGCTGACCCGAGTTAGCGGAAGTCACAAATGTCTTTCGGTGAACGGTTTTGACTGGCATCAGTTCAGAAGAACTGAGTCGAAGTCACTGCTGATCGCAACAAACTATGAGACTTATTTTCCTACTTTCGACAGATAATTGTGTTTTATTTTTACAAATTTATTTTATTGTTAGGGACTCAAGCTTGTTTACAGGATAGTCACTCGCTATCTCCGCTGGCACATAGTTCCATCCAGATGAATTGGTATATGCTAGGAGACTTGCTTCTCACTTCAACTAGACGAGCCAGGTACCAGTGTGAGACAGCCATCATAAGTAAATTGGGCTTAGTCTTCTATATGACCATCTTCGGCGAGCAAAGTACCTTAGCGCAGAAAATACAAAGCAGACATAAATGTTAGTTTTGTATAAACAGCATGTGCCTAGCATGTTGTTAAGAAACATGAAAATAACTATCAGCGTGTGAATTCTGGATAACCTTAAGGACTTTGAAAAAAAAGTTCACAATTAGAATGACTGTTGAGCGGCAATAGAGCCTATGATGATTGACTAGAATCCAGAAAATGATTGACTCGAATTCAGAAGTTACTGATACCTTTTGTGAAATGGCTGAATTTCTTTGTTCTTCTTCTCTCAATATTTTTTTTTCATCTTTATATGCAACAAATAATGGAATGTAGGCTAAGTGAAAGTGGGCTATCACTGTATCAATTTTATTGATATGTAAAATGCGCACAAATATAAAAAATGAACCATAAAAAACATAGTTGGAAGCACCGCGTATCTAAAATTATCTACAATAAAAATACAGGGCGTATGACGTGTCAGTTGATGTCACTCCCCTTATTGTCGCCTCCAGTGAAGTGCAGGCAGTCAGGTGCTCTCCTAGTTAACTTCATGTACGTTTGCTAATTTCTTGTTGCAAGTTCCTGGCTTTATTTGGGTCTACCAATTTATGCTGTTCTAATTGAACGTTTGTAGTGTGCCGCTACTAAAACGCTTTAGATCATAAACAAAATATTCGGTGTAACACAACCGTCAGGCCTGTGCAAAACCTTCAGCACACTCACAGCAAAAGCTAGAAAAACTTGGCAGATCCACGTACCTTGGGAATTAATGTTATTCGAAGGTGGTGATGAGAGCTGAATGTGTTTATTTTTTCTATTAAAAGAGCTGTTATGAAGTGACACTATACATATGTACACATCAACGCACACACGTACGTTAAACCACCGCGTATGTTTTTTATTAGCTATAGTTACGCGCTAACGCCAAAAACCAACATGGCAATACCAGATGCCATAAGCTGGTACGAAGCCTTAGTGTTCGCGCTGGTGCGCGCCAGGATAGTAGCCCTCAATGCTGCTACACAAATAAACTTCTACTGATGGCACCTAACTAAAGTTTGCGTTAACCCAACGTGACGGCTGTATTCTAGGAGTACATTGTAATGTAATAATATCGGATAGCGAGAAGTGCAAAAACAGTTGACGTTATACAAATGCTAGAGTCTATTTGAATAGTGTATCCGAGTCGTTGCATGGCTCTGTGCTAGAATGCATCATTGCCATGCAGAATGCGGGGCATTATTTTCTACTGGGACAATTGAATTTAGCGCTTGTATTCTTCCGGCCAACGCTGCCCTCTGGTATATGCCACTGTTTTTTCGGAAAGTGTTCGATGACCTACGCGACGAGATTGTAACATTCTACAGGTAATAACCAGCTAGTCGTATTCGAAAAAGCCTCTTTAACGCCTATACTAATTTTGGGGTAACCCAAGGTGAGGGAGTGATCATGAGAGCACCCGGACATAGGCGGCTAGATAATAGAATAGAATAGATAGATAGATAGATAGATAGAAAGATAAATTGATAGATAGATAGATAGATAGATAGATAGATAGATAGATAGATAGATAGATAGATAGATAGATAGATAGATAGATAGATAGATAGATAGATAGATAGATAGATATATAGATAGATAGATAGATAATCTTGCAGCACGCAAAGAAAAGCTTCGCGTTTGAAAACGGTTTCTGGAGCCTTTTCAGACACTCTTGGGGCAACTACAAAAAAAAATTGCATGGTTGTCATTATAATGTAATTATGCTAATATCTGAGCAGTGGGGAAGCAACCACTAGTCCATCATTAGTCATTCTGCAGAAAAAATGTCGCACTTGCTACGAGCTTTAAAGCATAATGTGCACCTTGTTGATTATGTGCACCTTGTATATGCTGTGGCTCAAGACGAAGCAGAAATTATACCTGAAGCTTTTGTAATGCGATGCGCATTGTACGACCCACTTGGTACGCAATTCTTGTTGTGTCCCATCTCCTTGCTATTGAACTGTTCTAAATCACTTATTTACTCAAGTTAACGCGATTCCTTTCCCGACCAAATTCCTGCGTAAGGTCAGTTTGCAACGAGATTTCTTTTCCGGCACGCACATACTAAACAAACATTGTAGCGGAGTGGTCTATATATAGTACTAGAATGCCACACGGTGGGCCTGTGGTTGATTCCCATTCTGTCCTCGTTATTTTGTAATTACTTACCTTTAATATATTGCGTAATATATTGCGTGAACAGCTCTCGCTGTAAAAAAGATGCATATCTTGTGCTTGCGCCATATGACCTAGATGCAAGACATCGTAACCCGGTATTTCACAATAATGTTTTCTCATGCTTGTGTTTTAGCGTGAACAAAATAATTCTACGAAAAATAAATTGAAAAAAAAACCTACTCAGTATTAACGTCACACTTCTATCTTAAGACCGAGCTACAATATCGTCAAAGGAATAAATAAAATTCCAGATCCTTTTGCCAATATTTGAACATCAGAGCAAAGTGAATACGAGAGGCAAGAACTTACGTTAAGAAACATGCCAGGTACGCTTTATCTATATGCCACTGTGGGCCATTCAGGAAAGGTTTAAAACTGAGAAGGCTATAAAGCTTCCACATATTTATTTTCCGTATGTATACAAAGTTGGAATTAAAGCAAACCCAGTGCTCCATGAATTCCTCACCATACGTCATAATGCCGAAAGTCAATAATGCAACCAGCAGACATCTGGGATCCATCGCAATGCTCTACGAAGACCTGCCAACATTGAAAATCATTAGAACTGCGTCTGCGTAGCCACAAGTCTGAAAGTGTTTCTGACAGACAGAAAGTTTATGTGTTAGTGAGAGATAGTTTCACTAACGTGTTGAATGGCAGAAGTGAAATTTTCGTACAATCAACTGAACACTACTTAGACAATTCTGCATCCCCAAATTTATCTATCTATCTATCTATCTATCTATCTATCTATCTATCTATCTATCTATCTACCTATCTATCTATCTATCTATCTATCTATCTATCTATCTATCTATCTATCTATCTATCTATCTATCTATTTTTACCTTATCGACTTATCAATTATAGTACCTGAGCTTCGTAAACGTCACAAAAATATAAAAGCCCTAGGCAGCGCAAGCTCACAGTTATTGAAGGCTGTGTGTGCTGAAAGCTAATTCTGGTAATTGTAAAGCTAATGTGTATCCCAGCCGCCTATCACCCCACCACGGCGGTCCAGTTGCTAAGGTACTCGGCTGCTGACCCGCAGGATGCGGGATCAAATCCCGGCTGCGGCGGCTGCATATTCAATGGATTTTCGGCAGCAGCATTTTCGAAAATGCTGGCGGCTGCATTTCCGATGGAGGCGGAAATGTTGTAGGCCCGTGTGCTCAGATTTGGGTGCACGTTAAAGAACCCCAGGTGGTCTAAATTTCCGGAGCCCTCCACTACGGCGTCTCTCATAATCATATAGTGGTTTTGGGACGTTAAACCCCACATATCAATTTTCGAAAATGCTGTAGGTCAGTGTGGTCAGATTTGGGTGCACGTTAGAGAACACCAGGTGGTCGAAAATTCCGAAGTCCTCCACTACGGCGTCTCTCATAGTCATATGGTGGTTTTGGCACGTTAAACCCCGCACGTCAATCATCAGTCAGGAGCCGCCTATCAACAGACGAGAACCTCCATGGTCAGTTTAGTACAACAGATACGAAGTAAATTATACCTGGAGCTGGCCCATCGGCATTGTCTAGAAAGTTAATCACGAAGAATACTTTATGTTCTAGAAAAACAGAATTGGAAATCTTTCTGAAGCGTGCCTGAGTAATATTTCGGTAAACGAACAAAGGGTTCCTTTACTTGCAACAATTGATGTTTCATATTATTATTCTAAAGCTTCAGTCTTAGCGTTACCTCAACAATATATACATCGGAGTGTGAAGACCAGTTTTAATTTCATTGTACAGAATGAGGTCGATGTCGCAGAATTAAAAAGCTCACTTTTATGCACAATAACATCATCGACACGCGGTTTAACTGTATGAAGGCACTAGTAAGTTATTAATTGGAATAATATGGTACATACGATCAGTGATAAATAGGAAAAATGTATTCTGCGCATTGATATTTTTGATGTGTACCCGTGGACCCGGGTTTCTTGTTTCGCTGCTTAGCTGCGTCTGTTTCTGCAATCATGTCATCTGTTTAGGACGTGTTCAAAGCTCTGCAATGAAGAGACCATTTGCAAGCTTAGTGTTTTACGGGTGAGCCTCTTGAACTCTTCTCAAACGTTTAAATATTTCGCGTAAATTTTTATTATGTGTGAACTTTACTTGTAGATAATTGCGTTGGAATTTAGATAGTGTTACTACAATTAGGATTTCCAATTGTGCATGCGTATATATGTAGTCTTTTTCAATTGTGGACAACTTTTCTATGAACGCTATTACGTAATAGGAGGAGTACCCGAAAGTGCATACCAGTCGCTATATAAATAAATATTAAGCAAATGGGGGCTTTTCAAATACTGCAATCCGGTGACGTTGTACCTGACATCTGTAGGCGAAAAACAAACAAAATTGTGCTTTCAGAATGAACACACTCACGTTTAAACTACTAAATATTTGTTTATTTATTTCTTTACGCGTCCTAAATTGCAACAGACAAAACAGAGGTGGCAGAGCTTTCGAACGTATTCAAAACGTGTAAGGTAACGAGCATAGGAAGATTTTACACGGAGAGAATCGACCATGCTGCAGAGAGTAGATGGAGCCTAAACGCTGTGAAGGCAAGACTGTGCATAGGCAAAAACCAGATGTGTGCATTAAGAAAGAGAAGAGAATGTCACTATCAATACGGATAGGATAGTAGATATAGCGGAGGAGTTTCGGATAGGTTTGTAGAGCAGTCAAGACAACCTGGATGATATTGTCAGACGCAGTAATAGCCCAGGCAGAGGTACATGACATTCCACCAGTAACAACAGGGGAAGTTAGAAGAGGCCTAAAAGGAACGCACAGGAGAGCCGCAGGTGAGCAAATGTAACAATAGGCCGGTTGAATGGAGGTGGAGATGGTGTTAGGAAAACAGGCGACCCTGTATACGAAGTGTCTCTTGTTGGGTAGCAGAATCTCGGAAAAATGTCAATCTCGTTTCAATTTATTCGAAAAGGGACGTCAAAGACTTCGAAAATTACAGGCCGATAAGCTTACTGTTCGTTCTCTACAGGCTACTTGCAAAAATAAAAATTAACCGTAAGAAGACGACATGATAGTTCCGTAAACCAAAGGACGAAGCAGGATTTTGTACAGGCTACTCCACAAGAGACCATAAACTTTTTTCCTTCTGTTTTTCTAATCCTCCTTTTCCTACCCTTCTTACTATCATTGAGGTGGCAGAGAAATGCGCAGAATACAACCCACTCCCATACATAGCCTTCATAGATTGCGAGAAGGCATTAGATTCGTCGGAGGTATGAGCAGTCATAGAGGCACTGCGAAATCGGGGCATCAACGAAGCTTATCGACTGCGAATCCACATCTACAAAAGTCCTAAGTAAAGAAAGCGACATTACTTCAGTGAATCAGGCTCTTAGGTAGGAAGACGCACTGTCTGCTTAGCTCGTCACCATGTATTTACAAAAGTTTTGCAGGGCCCTAGATGGAGAAGAGTTAGGGATGAGACTCGATAGAGAGTACCTTAATCACCTTTGATTGGCTCTTGACATTGCATTGGTGAGAAACTCAGGAGGACAGATTGGAAGCCATGATTACTTGACTGGACACGAAAACCAAAAGAATAGGTCTGATACCTATTATGCATAAAAAATGTAATCTGCAAGTCTCGGCAGAGAATAGCGCTTTGCGATAGGCGGCGCGACACTGGAAGGGGTAAAAGAATATGTCTACTTGGAAGTTAGAAGAGGTAGTAACCGCGGGTCTAACCATGAGAGTGAAACAACTAGAAGACTGAGGATGAGGTGGAGCATAATCAGTAAGTATTCTGAAATGATGAATCTGTTTCTGCAATTATGTCATCTGTTTTTGAAGTTTTGAAAGTTAGGCAATCAGGAGACAATTTGCAGGCTCCGTGGCTTAAGCGTGAGAATCTGGATGGGCTTTTCTCTAACGTTTAGATATTTCGCGTAAATTGTTTATTATGTGCGAACTCTACTTTTACAATATAGCATTGGCATTTATATACTATTGCAAGCACTAGGTCTGTGAACGTGCGATCTACCGCTATACCTCAAAACGAGGGCATAGAGGTTGCCCCGCCACGGTGGTCTAGTGAATAAGGTACTCGGCGTCTGACCCGCAGGTCACGGGATCGAACCCCGCCTGCAGCGGCTGCATTTTCTATGGAGGTGAAAATGCTGTAGGCCTGTGTGATCTGAGTTGGGTGCACGTTAAAGAACCACAGGTGGTCGAAATTTCCGGAGCCCTTCACTACGGCGTCTCTCATACTTATATGGTAGTTTTGGGGCGTTAAGCCCCACATATATTTCAATGAGGGCATAGAGGTTGTTTAAAAAAATGTGCCGTAGTTATAGAAAAATTTCAAAAAGGAGGCTTCTGAGTACTACATGCGGCGATGCCTTTACTGTGAAACAAGGCAACAATAATTATGACGGTACTCATATAAATTAAAACAATTGCCTTTTAATTCAGTGGTAATAAGCGATCAAGTACGATGCGCGAACTTAAGTCTTTCCTACGAATAATGCCTAAAAACACTGATTTTAAAAGGTGCCCACTGGTAAACTCCGCACAGCGATGAAATTCGGCAAATATAGCAGGCGAAAACAAGACCGACGCACCAAACAGCTCAACTACCATTCTCTCCGAAAACACGCCGAGATACGACACAGCCTCCCTTGCCTTTATCAACCGTCAATCTAGACACATCGCTTCATGGGGCCATAGAGAATCCTAAAATTCCCTAGCAGAGACTCTGGCACTGCGATCATTCAGTGACCATGAGGATGATCGGTGGTACATAGATTTGCCTAGTCTTCGTGCTTGAAGGCTGCAGTAAACGAAGCCACACAGTTGTGGCTTCGTTTACTGCAGTGTCTAGGTTTTGTTTAAAAAAAAACAACACGAACCTATCATTTTCATCTTCGTGAGCCGATTCAAACTGGTGAGCCTAAAAAAGTATGGTGGTGAAGCGTAACTCATCAAATATTGCTGATTGTTGTTTCATAACGAGACAGCTTCAATTCTTGCGAATTCCAATAGAACTTAAAGTACGAAAATTGCACAAATCAGTGTATAAACCACAATTCATATGCTCGCTGAAGCCCCATGCGTTCAAGCTCCCATAGACACGAGCGCCAGTGTTCCCTCTAGTTTATTCATATGAAACTTTATGTTGGCCGCTTATCTGCTCTCGCTTATCGTCCTCCCCCAATGCTAGGACAACAGTGTTGTCATTGACGGTGTTTTGGAAGTGAATGGTAGATGCGCTGTCTGGTGCATCGGTTTCGGTTTCGCTTGCTATTCACCAAACCTCATCGCTCCGTGGTGGTTATTAGGGGCCGCTTTTCGAAAATGTCAAAGTGACTATTGAATATTCAGAGGAAGGGTTTGCATTCGCCCATTCGACTCGATCGGCTATTTCCACTGGTTAAAAGGTAATTGTTTTAATTTCCATAGTTATAACCGTAACCAATACTAGTGCACATCTGAACATGCCTTTTTCTGCAGTAACGAGACCGCCTCGGGAAGCATAGAAATGCCTCCATTCTGCAAGATTTAAATATGATCGGACATATTTCTCAAAACACTTTGTGCAACCGCTGCAGCTTACCGGTATTTACCGACGGAGCCGAAGCCTAGAGGCCTAAGAAGAGGGTTGAACTTCAGTTTTGGACTACGCAGTGAGCTATCGATAGGACAATGACAGCTGCAAACTCAAAAGACGAGAATAAAACACAGAGGGTAAGGGAGCAAGCTAGTGTTGAGGATATCATAGTTGACATCAAAAAGAAGTTGGTGTGAGCCAGGAACGTAGTGTGATGACAGGACAACCATTAGTTATTAAGGCTAGCTGAATCAATTCTACGAAGAGGCAAACGTGTGAGAGGGATACAGAAAATCAGGAGGGCTGTTTAGAAAAAGAAGATTGCGGGCATAATGTGGCAGTAGGAAGCACATGGCATGGTTGATTGGGGCAACATGGGAGAGGCTTCTGCCCTGCAGGTGGCGTTGTCAGGCTAATGATGATGATGAATAATATTACAATATATCAATGTCTGAATGCAGGTTAATAATTTTTACGAATTGCTTTTCAACAAAATTGACAAGAAAATCAGTCATTGCCAGTAAACAGTACACAAGGAGCACGTTACAGCTCCTAAATCGAAAAAAAAGCGCGACACTTCACAATATGAAAATGCTTGAAAGGTAAACAGTCGCAATAAAAACTAGTTTTCAACTATTTACTTGGGTGTTCGTAGTGCCTTGAAAATATTCGTAATTCATGCATAGTAATAGCAGGACCAGTTACATATTTGCGAACAATGTAAACATTGATGCAAATATTTAAAATTAAAAAATAAAACTACAATATTTAGGTGAAATAAGAGACCACGCGCTAAGTTTATCACGTAAACCACGGTGAGTGTGCAAAATGTACCGTAGAACAGCACAATATTTATCGCGTTTTTGTTTATCACTGCGCAGCTGTAATACGCAACACTGCACTAGGAGAGCGTGAACAAAGAACAAATCGGAGGAAGAACGGGCGTGAGAGATTCGGCTGGTTTCCAGCGATTGACCATCGTTTCTCTTATGCCTGCTGCTTCATTGACCTGATTGTGAACAAACCCATATCATCCGTAACAGTTGTGTTGGAGGTCTGGTGGACACTCTGGTGGACAATATCGCAGACGACCTGCGAAGGAGCCGATGCGTAGCCGGACTACCCTCGGATCACACAGGCATAACCGACAACCGCAAAGGCACGTCGACCGGAAACGCCCAAGCAGCAGCTAATATCACGGATCAAGGCAGCTACCGAGCAAGACATCCTAGCTACTGCGCACCTGAGCCACTTATATATCCTCAGGTAACGCTGACGAAGACGTAGACGAAGACGTAGGTTAAGATAATATAAAAGAGCGAGCCGCTTTCACGAATGGACTACGTCGGCGAAATATATCAACGTGGTGTTCTTTTTCGTCGAGACCACTCTGCTTTGGTTCGAGAACCAAGGGAAAGTGCTGACCGCTTGGCAAACCTTTTCTCTGAACAGATGGCCTGCTTTAAAGGCAGAAGTTTTTTAAAAAAGGAGGCTAAATTAACACTGGAACGTAGAGCACAATTTCTCGGCAAAACGCGTGCGACCTACACTGAAGAAACATTGAAGCTTTGTGGCTTTGTACGCACGCACATGTCCAACGAAGACAAAGTCAGGCATATTCTAACGGCCAAAGTTAAAGATGTTTATAGCTTTCTGATTGCAATGGACAAAATAAACACACCTCCCGAAGCCTAGGCAGCAATGTCGAGCATTCGAGGCGCTGAGAACTCGACCAATTATATCGAAGTTCGGGCACTTAGACGACGAATAATACCCAAGTTCGGGCACATAGACAACGCCTCTACTGTTGCAAGTATGGTTATAACCGCTTGCGAAGACTTCCATCTTATCGGGCGTCGACTAGTTGAACAATAGCTGGCACGGCTTCAGGAAGCATAGGCTGGCTATCATGTGCATTCGATCTGTTTCCTGAACCAACTTCCTCCTGGAAGAGAGAGCATCGCCGGGACCATCGACTACAATAAGAAGATGCCCGCTGCAGCACGAGCTTCCGATTGCTCCAGTCAAATAGAGGTTGCCACCTGGTGACACCACCTCGACGTGCTGCTGCGTAATACCAGCTAACGCCACAATGACGTCCATCACACTACTACGAGACGTTATAACGTTATAACGTGTGCCTGCGGACTACCACCCAAATCCGCGCGCCACTGCTTTTACGAATGTGAACCGTGACAGCACATCTGGCTACACATGTGAGTTGAGATGGCACAACTCACGCATCTGTCGCCACCAGCCGCGTTAAGATACCGTAGGTTCACCTTAAAGGGCTGATTTTCGTGCAAAGCCAAGGATACTTTAAAAAATCGGGACACCTGAGCATTGTTTTTCAGAGTAGAACGCAAAACCAGGAATGGAACCCATGTGCGTGGTCTTCTCATTCGAACCATGCCATAAAAAAAAGCTTATAGTTCAAGCGAAAAGAAGATTAGAAACTGTCCTGAAAAGCATGACTACTGCAAAGGCAGCGACAAGTTACGCGCTACAGGCGCCTTCATTATACATACCTCGAATTAATAGATACCACAGTGTCTTCACCCGGGAGTACGTGGTAGTGCACACTTTGTTAAAGCTGCGGCTAATAATCGTGATTAGGCATGTCCGGAGCACATTGTGATTGCTGGGCCTTTATACAATTGAATTTCATCACAATTCGCATGGCGTGAGGCCTGATTCAATTATGTACCTTTCATTCATGTGATATTACAACTGTTGACAGTACTCCCGGCACTTATACACGACGCCTTCCTAGGCTTTGCAGTTTTGCAGCACTCTTTTAGAGAGTCGTATGGCTCTGGAGTAAGACACCTCTGTACCAAGCGGAAGGCCTTGGCTCAAATTCTTGGCGGGCCGGAGACCTTGACTATATAACTATTCAATTCTATCTAGCCCGATTTCATTCTCACAAACAACGACGCCAATATCAATGCTAACACCTGATTTTCTCTGAAACTAGCTCTTTAACGCTATTGCGCTGATATATAGAGGCACAAAAATTGTGTACAATATTCTAAAACTATCTTCAATCAATAGAGACAAAGATTACCTCTTCTTGAAATAACGAGTCAGGCAGTTCGAACACTCCTCTAGCTGGAAATGAAAATGAGCTGAGATATATGCCACAGTGCGGCTGAAACAAAAAAAAAGCCTCGCCATTTTAATGTTTGCTAAGCTATCAAAAGCGTATGTTCACAAAACAAAAAGCACTGCAACACGTACCCCTGCACGTATATTCAGTACAATGTCAAGGTCTCGCAGACCTGGTGAGTTTACACGAAACAACATTCATCATATTTAGGTATACCAAGCTATCATGCTTGACAGTAAAAAGGCTAAGAATAAAAAGAAAACCTCGTGCAGGTGGGTGACTTGTTTGGGTGACTTGTTATTTTTTACATTAATATAGGACGCACATGTTGCGGGAATGTCAGCGAAGAGCATCCGCTTTTTTAAGAACCTGAGTACGTCATTCCCAAATGCCACGTCCTCTGACAGCGTTCTGTATATGTAATTTAAAAGTCGTGAAGCTAAACACAAAGTCAATGCAAGCGTGAATATACAGCAATGTTCCTGACGTCTTCAAGGGGTGCTCGAACTTTACTAGGATAGCTTAAGTTAGGCGATAGTTCCTCAGGACACGCTGACAGATGTGCCAAATAAAACAAACACTAGCCTCAGCCTCAAAACAAGCAAAAGCTATCTACTGAAGTTCGAGAGCCACGGTGCTACACATTGTTCTATGATGAGCTTTAGAGTGAGGGTACAGAGGTGAAAAAAAGCTCGCGCCTGTCCGTTCTCCTCAGTACGCACTGTTTTTGCCTTGGCATCAGCAACCAACCAGCTCGAAATGTGTTATTCCAATTTAGATTAAGTGCTGTTTTACCTTTGAAATTTACCGCACCACGCGCGCTTGTGTCGAGATATATTTATGCACAATGTTTAATAAAGTATTTTATATACAGTGTATCCAGTGTGTGAAATTTTCATATTGAAATTTATCTACTTGAAAACATTGTGGTATTAACGCAATAATGTACCCAATCCTAAACGATTCGCCATTACCACAGGCTTTTTTTAACGCGATAGTATTGAACAGCTCGTAAGCACAAATTTTGGTATCAGCGTCGGTGTCGGCATCGTTGCTTTTCAATATCATCTTCCCCATGATTGAAATATCAAGAAACATGCAAATATCATAAATAATAGTACTCTCTGGGTCCGAAGGGGAATAATTTAAATCGTCTGCATGGCAAGCAGGCGTTCCACAGCAGAGTGACGATGGTTGTTGAAACAACTTCGAAAAAAACACTATATGTTCGTCAGGTAGTGTAGTGATCGAGACTGCCTACTGAATAAAAGGTCGCGTGACACAAGCGTGGAACTACGCAAGGATTCGTCGAAAGGTGTGAATCGAGCAGCGAGTAGAAGTTTGAAAGGCCACCCACAACAAAGGACTGTGATATATTTATTCATAGTCAGCAGCACAACTACCAACGGAGTCAACCACCGCGATTGTTCGCTTGTTGCGCTGCGGGCATTTCGATAATAATAATAATAATAATAATAATAATAATAATAATAATAATAATAATAATAATAATAATAATAATAATAATAATAATAATAATAATAATAAACAGATGTCAAAGTGGATACTCGGCTACAATGCTAGCAATAGACTTATAAAGGTGCCTTGAAACGGCAAAGACGTGCAAAGTCGTTGATTTCCTAATAGCACAATTGAGGCATGCACTGAAAACCAAAGCAGGTTAGCAGTCTAGAAGGCGTTAAGCACGAAGCCCGATTTCGCTGTCACGACTTACTATGAAATGCGAAGCTCAAGCATCGCCCTTTGATTGTGCTACTTTTATGTAACTTGTCCATTACCCGTATAAACACAGTCTTGCACAAACCGTGCCAGATTATTTCAGAATCATCTGGTAGGCTTGAGTGCCTAAACGCGAATAGCTGAGCTCAATCTAGAACTAATGCGGCTACCAGCGATAATGCCTGAATGCTCGATGGCGCATGCATGTATCTATACCGACAAACCTCACCCAAGGTCAGATCACAGACGGCAGACACTCTCTCCACCACCGACAGAGTGCAGCGTGTCTTTTTCATGCTTCAAGTTATTACTACGTGCACACAGGTTCATCCGAAAAAATATCTTTGTCTTCAACACGCGGACTGCTGCCTTTTTCAACGCCACAATGAGGCGGCCGTATTCAAATAGAAAAAAGGTGAAAAGCAAAGATGCTTTGCATCCTCAATATGCTCTCGAGGTTAAAAAATTCAGCGTGTGCCACGCGTCGAAAACCGTTATTCAGCGATACTTTATGCGCATGATTATCATTATTGAAATTATAATAACTTCGTACATCATGATCATTTTGTTATTCTGTTATCATCAATTAAATTTTTCTCTATTTACTTCCCGCTCTAGTGACGCGTTCCACACGACTATTATTCCTTCTACTGATTGATTTGCAAGGGGTTTCTAACATCCCAAAACCTACTATATGAATATTAGAGACGTCGTAGAGGCCTACTGCATTTTCTCCTCCATCGAAACGGCATCCGCTGCCGCTGGGATTCGATGCCGCGACCTGTACTACTACTACTACTACTACTACTACTACTACTACTACTACTATCACTACTACTATTACTACTACTACTACTACTACTATAACTACTATATACTGCCGCTATTTGCCTACAGACCGTAGTGTACCCCTATACTATTACGACTGCACAAATACACTGAAACAGCTTCGAGTAAAGCTATTCGTCTTTTTGGTCACTCGATCAGTCAGTGATGGGATTAGAAGAGAGCAATGGTGTGTCGTGTTACGGCACTCTTCGACAAATTCCTTTCTGCTTACGTAAAATGCCTCGTCATTTCTAAAATATATATGTTCGAAGGTACCAACAGAATCGCTCACCTTACGTTACGGCAAAAACTTTGGAATATGTATACATGTATTTAACTCCACAGATTCCCAGGGAGTTCACTAGAATACTGAAACACTCTTACAAAGCAAGCGCCACCGAAGAGAACAAAACGCCATTAGTGCTTATTTCCGATTCGGATATTACTTGCTGCTTGTATTTATAGATCGTGTGCGGTAGTGACGATCGATCACCATCACCGAAAACTACAATTCTTCATTTCAATGAGTGGGTATCTCTAGGAAGATCTATTTTGAGCATCACGAGTATGTTTGGGAAGTGAGGCGACAATCTCCACTCAATTAGACTCCATCCTCTAGATTACCTTCCTTTTCCGCACGTACAACTCTGATCGCAAAATTAAAACGAGGCGTTATCACTGAAGTGGAACATGTACCTCAATGCGATATATATACCGTGCTGTGAGAAGAATAAGAACGAAAGGTGAAAAGTGAGGAAAGCAGCAGGCAGAAAGGCACTGCAAGAAATGTCTTGAATGAAAATTATATGCAATCAGGCAAGCACTATTTACTAATGGAATGGCAGACTAGAATGCGAAGACAAAGTAGCGTGGCTGAATTATTACTTCTTGCCTTCGTCTCTTTATCCGCCTACTTGACTGTCGTTACTAAAGACACTGTAGAATGTCAGGCGCCTTTCTCGCAAAACTCTTAATACTTAATTTATCATTTTCGTTTTTCTGTGGCTCTTTGCCAAAATATGTGTAATGATGCTTCCATTGTGCGTTTCTTGTGTAGTAATATTCGACGTTTTACATCACACATCAAATATCGCGCAATAAAAATGGACGCCTTGTGTATCATGGTGTGTTGATTTACAGTAATATACTGCTTTAAGCACCCAGCTTTTAAAATCTTCTGATGCCATGCTCCCGTACTTTCATTTGCAGTCTACTCTTTAAACATTCTGGCGACATGCTCATCTTCGCAGTCGTTTTGGTACCTAAATATTGCGCTAGATTAGTCTCATAACGGTTTGAGGAACTACTAGATACTTACCTCAATATTCGCCCGATAGTGTGAAATAAATTCGCGAAACGGTAGGTTTGCTTGAAGAACACCTGTTTTTAGGCTAGAAGCCTAAATACTGCATACAGTGCCCAAAATGCTCTCGACTCGAGGTGGTTTTCAACCTTCCCGGAATGTGATTAATATAACACGACATGGAGAATTGATGTGAAGAGAACAATTTAAAACTTTCATACAACATATGATAAGAACAACGGCCTCCAGTGCCATCACCAGAGTGTGAGGGCTCATCGTCAGCGTGCAACTAAGAATCGCCAAGCTCAAGAAACTTCAAAATATGTGTTCTCGCAAATATTACTTTATAGCAAATGAGAACTCCCCGTTTAATTTTATTCGATATAGCTCACGTGAAAGCATGAATTTAAGCATTAAGATATTTTCACAAGCTTAAAAAACACTGCCTGTAAAGTATCTTCGTCATGTCTTACGATTCACTGCTTGAAATCCATAGACGTAAAGCAGTATTGACGGGGAGCATCTCCTAATGAGCGTGTGATTTTTGATTCGAGAGCTACTAAAAGCACTCAACTCATAGATATTGCTTTTTTCATTACCATATGCTTCCCCACATATTTGTACGGTGTCGATGTTTATGAAAGGGAACACACGGACGCATAGTCCACGTGCTCCATCGGCTGCTTGTAGCGCGATCAAACGAGAGCGATAGCAACCACAGCCTCTATTCTCGTCATCTAGCGGTGAGCAAAACAGGTGGTCATTGGGGATATCGAACCGGCGGCAAGATAGTAACCGCCACCCCTTCAATGTGATTACGCAAGAGGCCGGGCGTAATCATTCTGCCGGTTCGATATCACCATTGAGTGCTTGTTTTGCTTACCACTAAATGACGGGAATAGAGGCTGTGGTTGCTATCGACGCACGACAAACAGCCAGTCGAGCGCCCGGGCCACACGTTTGCGTCTTCTCTTTCATAAAAATTGGCACTGTACGTTATGGCCCGAAATACGAAATTTCTTTTGTACGTATGTGAGTGTATCTGTGTATATATTGTGACGAGGCGCGATCGAGGTTAATAATACAGCGTCCACAGAGAATTGGCAGCCGAACAAGGTGATTGAGTTGTCTCTCGCGAAGGCGTCA